CCCCAAAACCCCAAAACCCCAAAACCCCATAAACTAGATTACTATAAGAAACTAGAATTTGAGTTATTTATCAAATATTATACATGAGATTAAGACATTATTAATAATAACTCAATTCACTCCTTGATTTAGCTAATATCGCCGTAATCAATCAAGATGGATGATTCAAAATTCTTTTATGAGAAAGATCCATATTACAGGAAAAAAGTACTCTCGATAATTGGTTGCATGCTTTGCCAGTTTATATTTGGACAATGCAATATTTGGGGAAATATTCAAGTTTATGTCTGTTCTTACTTAAGACAGTTCGATGATAGTATTCAAATCAATCAAATATTCATAGTAGCTCCAATTCAGTCTCTTTCTCTAACAGTGGGAAACTTGATTGGCACTAAACTTATAAACAGATTCAAGCCAAGAACAATAATGACTTTCGGGTTTTCATTATTTGTAGGCTCATAGTTACTAGCTTCCTTTGCTTAAAACCTCTATCTATTCATTTTAGCTTACAGCCTTATGGGAGGAATAGGGCTAGGCATGAATTTCTTCTTGCCTGTTTATGTGGGATGGAAATGTTTCCCTATGAGAAAAGGACTAATTACTAGTATGATTATGTGCTTTAATGGTATTGGAACAATCACTCAGTCTATCATATCAGTTTTGATAGTTAATCCAAATAATATTAAACCTACTATTTAAGTGGAACAGGGTGTGATAACCTACAATTACTTTGATGAGGAGGTAAGTGGAAACATTCCTCTGTTCTTCAGAATATTTACAGCAGCTGAATTGGTTATACTAGCTGTTGCTCTAACCTTCATCTGGATACCACCATATAATTTAGAATAGCAAGATGAAATCAAGATGCCTTGGCATGTTGAATAGGATAATAATGCCAAACTTAAGATAGCATTAAGTTCAAGATAATTTTTCCAAACATACATTATGATGTTCACTGGGGTTCTTTATTTTTAATACGTCTCAATTGCATTCAAATCATTAGGAGAATTCCATGGTCATGATGATCAATTTCTTACATTAGCAGCATCGCTTGGAATGATTTTCAATGTAGTCGCCAGAACTGTTGGAGGTATGATACTAGATAAACTAAGATTTAAATATTACTTTGGATTTATATTGCTAATGTCAATAACCCTAAGTTTTACCTTCAACTACTTTGCTTAGTACAAATTTATGTTTCTGATATTTCTTGCTGGAACATTCTTTATATCTGGGTCAGTGTTTGTATCGACACCAGTCTTTTATGGAAAAGTATTCGGACCTGAGATTGGTTCCCAAGCTTATGCATACTTTTTTACATCGAATGCAATCGCTGTACTAAGTTTTTCATACATTGTAAGAAACTATTAAAGTTAGCTTGGATATGAAGGCCTCCTCTTAATAACAGGTGTCGCATCAACAATCTCATTCATAGACTTAGTATTCCTTTCAGATTCACAATATAAATTCTCGAGATACAACCTTTTAGATGATGTAGCATCCTCAGTATATTCCGGGCCTCACTTAAGTGAATGCTCACATGAATTTGCCTCTGCTTCATTTTTAATAAGGAAAGATAGTTATGTCAATAGAGCTTCTAACATTCGATCTCATATTTCGATGAGCATTTTAAAATCTTAATTGTCAGATATTTCATTGAAAAGACATGCTATAAATATGTCTGATAATAGATCTGGTTTTGGGGATTATAAGTAGTGAATCAAAATATTATGGATAGCAGGTAGTTAATCTTAATTTTATCATAAATTAATTATGCTATCACATCACATAGTATTAGTTATGGGGTTTTGGGGTTTTGGGGGTTTTGGGG